ATCCGTACTGGGCTCTGGCATCACAGTAAGTTAACACATACAAATTCAGCACTCTCTGTTAATCCCTTGTTGAAAGTCTCAAGAATACGCTGCGCCATCGGAATAGCTACTATAGTGCTGCTAATGGTCAGCGCCAGCGAAATGGCTATTATCAACCGGCTGAGTCCGCACATAAACCCAAGTCGCAGCCACAACGTCATCACCAAATCTATCCGGTTTATGGCAAACGCAGCCTGCCAGACGCAGCTAATCCGCACCATCGTCACCGACGCAGTGGAGTTGCCAGCGTAGCCGACTCTGAACTAACGCGAATGGAAAACATTCAGATCAAATATCATCGCAACAGCCGGCAGACCTTATACGGGAGGATTGAAAAATATCTGGATAAGTAAGCGAGAGATGATAAACATAGTGTTGAAAGCAATACAATATGAGTTCACCCTAAATATTTCCCTAATCTTCAGACGTGGTCACAACGGACATGAGTGCGTGTTGCGTACTCTCTGTGAGACTGGTCAGAAGGCCCATGAGAAGGAGCCCGGCAGCTTTGTCGGCGAACTGCTACGCGCAGTATTCACCATTCCTGAGGCATTGGACCACGAGCCCGTGGCCTACCGGGACTCTCGCTATGACAAGGCCCACGCTCATGACGGCGACTGCGCGGCTCTCTATCCCAAGTGCAAGCTGTCCCTCTGGGAAGCACCCTTTGTCCAATAAAGTGCATACAAATTTTGCTTCAGTTTTGTTTTATTCACTGACCCCATTTGGCGTCTAGAAGCCAGCCCAATAGATTTAATTTACAGCCATCCTTAAAGTGCTTGTCACAATCCTCTGCATTCATGCGCATAATGCGACTATAGTCATCCTCCACGCCCGATATTGTGGGCAGTCTAAATGGAAATAGAGTTATATGTGAGCTAAATTAGACATATTCTCAATCATTCACTCACGTAAAGATCACGCGAACTATGTCCTGTAGCATGGAATACCCAGGTGGCAGAAGCAAACGCTTGCTATCGCAGATCGCGCGCAGTACACAGGCCTTGGCTTCGATACCCAGGCTGAAAGTTAATAGATATTACAGTATCGAATAAGCACTACTCATCTGCCTCCTCCCTCTCTCGCTATATCTCTCGTTCTCTCACTTACTGCTTGCCAAAGGCTCCAAAAATGTCAAACAGCTGCCGCCGATCGCGATGTCCCTGATAATGCTGCCAATCCCTGACGTGCTCCAAATCGGGATAGTTAATAGGCTTATAGGACGTCATATCCGGATCATATGGGTCCTCATCGGCTGAATCCGGTTCCTCTTGCAGCTCCGATTCAGCCGATCTGTACCAACGTTTGCCATAGTTGCTCCAAGCCGGCGATTGTGTCGTCCACTTACTCCACTTACCCGGCTGGCCATATTTCTCATACGGCCTTGCTGGTGTCCAATTTTTATAATATTCTCCGTACTTAGACCACTGCTTCCATTTGGCTGGATCAGCATAGCTCGGCCTTTGGGGCCTGTGGTCAATGCGTTGATGTAGCCTTACTGGGGTCGGTTTCTTGATAGGCGTTGCCTTAAATCTCCAGTCCGTACCAGCGATCCACACATAGGTTGGCTCTGTGCTTGTTTTTGGCACAGGCGTTGTTGTCGTTCGCGGCCGGAAACGCTTTGGATAGAGATCCACTCGACTCGTTGGCACTGGAAAGTACACCGCCTCCTCAAGGTTCATGCCTACTCCGCTCGGAAAGCGAGAGAGCAGCCCTGCGCTTATTGAGCAGGTAAATTTCAAATTCGAGCCCGATGAAAACAATACGAAACGTTTTTGACGCGAGAAGACTCGATCGACAACATGATGCAACTCCGTTCTATTGGGCTCGCCCAAGACCAACAGGACAAGTGCCAGCTGCCGGACCAAGTGAATCCAGAGACTGTATCGCATGACTGACCTGCACTGACTGAGACGTAAACGATGGAGAGCCTAAGTATGATGTGGGAAGCAATCAATTTACCTAGAAATTACTATAATCAGCTCTAACTGAGTGTCAATTGTTGAGCAAAGAAGACCAACAATAGATGAGCCCAAATTATTTATTGACATTCCAAAGTCGCCAGAAACCCTCAAGATATTAGATAAACATAATAGCAAAGTGGAACTTGCTATGAAAATTATAAATAAAGTTGTCACAGATGATTGTTTAGATTAGGCTCTTCTGAGACAGCATATTTATATCGTGTATGTATAATCTTTTATTATTATTTTATTTTATTATATCAAGTATGGCAAAATATTTTTAATTTTCAATGAATATTTATGTTTATATACTTTAATCTTACAAAAAATTAAAAATAATAAAAGATTTCTAACGCAAAAATTCAATCATGCTTATATATCGTCGCATTCCCGCGAAATGATCATATGTTGATTTTTTTGCGAAATTGAGATTTTAATGCAGAACGATTACAAAACGTCTGTCTCACATGCTTGCAAAAAATAATAACTGAATTCGCTCTAGTTTCGGAAAAAAGCTTCCTCTGTAAAATTCCATTTTTCGACCTACGATCATTTCGCGGGAGTGCGACGATATATATAGTTAATTCTTTGAATTCCAAAAATTTGTTTAGAAAATTTTGCAAGTAAGTAAAGAGTGAAGAGCTCAATGGAGTACTCTTTCTAAGCCCCTTTTTAAAGAGTAAATTCATATTCATTTATTTATTTATTTTATTTTATTAATATGTATATTTAGTTTTATTATATTTATTTAAATGATTTCAAACTGTTTGCTATACAAATATTTAATTTTCTTATCAAATATAAAAAAAAACTTCTTAATCAGAAACAGCGTTAATTTTATCCATTCGACCGCTCAATAGCCAAATCAAAAGGCTCATATTGCACTTAGTTTTCAGCTCCCGGGCACAGGCATCGGCGTCCTTTCTCATGATACGTGAGTAATCATCGTCTAGTCCATCTATCCGGGGCATGCTATAGGCAAAAGAATGAATAATCAAATCGAATAGCGACAGCTTTCCTGACACTTACGTGAACACCAAGCGCAGCATATCCTGCAGCATGGAATAGCCTGGTGGCAGCAGGAGACGCTTGGAGTCGCATATGGTGCGCAGTATGCAGGACTTGACATCGAAGCCAAAGCTGAAAAGTTCAGTTTATTATATGGAGTTCAACTGCTTCACTCACTACGCACCGTGCACTGAGTCCACTGAAGTGATCGAAGAGCTGCCGCCGATCGCGATGACCATGGAAATGGGGAGATTCAGCAATTGCTCGTGGAGTAGGTCTACTCCAACGACTTGTCCAGGCAGCTGTCCATTTGGGCGCAGGAGTTGTCCACTTTGCCCACTTACGATTGTTGCTCAGTGTTGCGGCAGAGCTCTGCCACTTTTGAGCCTGCCTTGAGCCATATTTTGCCCAGTGCTGCCAATTGTGAGGATTGGTGTAGCTATCCAGATCGATGCGATGTGTCCTTGACGGCTGTGGCCTGGACCTAAATGCCTGAGCCTTGTAGCGCCAGTCCGTGCCGGATATGTAATCATAGGTCTTTCTGTTGCTTGTCAGGGGATGTGCTGTTATTGGCTTCTTTGACCGTAAACGTTGTGGTAAGAGGTCGTCCGTTTTGCTAGCAAGGGGAAAGTAGACCGCCTCCTCCAGAGCAAATGTAACGCCTTGCGGATAGGCCGAGACCAAACCAGTGCCAAAATTACAAGTAAACTTAAGAAACGAGCCTGGCGGAAAGATTACTGCACGCTTCCTGCGACTGAATACCCGGTCGTAGGTCGATCGCAATCGTGTCTGTCGAGTCCTGCTCTCGCCATGACTCCAATTGATCAGCAGCAAAAGCACAAAGAGCTGTGTGAACAACATTTAAGACCGAACGAGAGAACAGAACGAAATGACTGCAAAGAATCATTTTCATATAGATTAAGTACTAGCTGTGAACAGATTAACTAAATATTTACTCTGTGTTGATTGATGACTTTATTTGTTGTACATCTACGTAAGCGGAAACCAGAGATATCCCAGAGGTTCAATTTTGGGGCAATCATGTGATAGATTCATTCAGTTGAGGTGTATGTCTCAAGCCGAGCAGTTCGTAGAGAGATGAAATTCAATCGGGTGCTATACCAAGTGCTTGGCCTGCTTATTGGCTGCACAGCAACGAGCTGTTTATTGTATCCGGCATCATCTTCACTAGGTGTAAGCAGCTGTGATTGCATTTTCCACAAGACTTCGACTCTAAAAAGTGTCCTTTATTTAGCTCACTTCCTCAGTTTCGGTACCGGTTGCTGAATTCTATCCGGAACGGCGTATACTCGTCGATTGGTGCTTCGCCATTTCCTATAACTTGCCCTCCAACTTGAGCTCCTTCTACAGCATTCCCATTTGGCCAGGCTTCGCCAACTACCACACCAAGCGCGAGGTTCCGCGCACGCAGCAAAATGAACTACAGCTCTATGAGAAATATGGCTACAATGCCTTGGCGCCTATACATCCCAAGGACTTATCAGCTGGGCAGCTGTATAGCAGCATCGAGGATGTCCTAGCTTCCTATGGCTTACACGAAACGTGCCTGCTGCGAACCGTGTGCGAGCTGGCCAGGCATCCCTTTGACGATGAGTATCCGCACATATTGAGCGACATCCTGACATTTGTCTTCAGGTAGGACTTTGACTTTCACATACAGACTAATATAGACTAATAAACCTTTTTTTTTCTGGTAGCCCCTCCCAACATCAGGGATTTCTGGAGAGCGAACATGTGTACAGGCAGGTCTATGAACAGGCTGAACTTGACGGCTTCCTGGGCAAAGACTGCGCCCATATCTATAGGCATTGCAAACACGATATCTTGAAGTCTATTAGCAATGTCGTTTTTCATAATAATTGAAGAAGTAAACAAATGGTGTACACTGTAACGTCAATGCGTTTCATTAGCAACTTCTCTAGGTGCTAGCGACAGTCGTTCTCTTTCTCTCCGTCGCCTCACAACGAAATGGATCTTTCTACGGTGAACTTCATATTCGCACTGCTGGCGACACTGCTCGAATGCCAGGCCAAAATGCCTTTGTTCTTTCCGGCCGCTTCAGTGTATCAGATAACGGCGGCTCTATCAGTTCCGGTCGTGCTACCGCCACGTAAAATATTTTGGGACTGGGGCGTGCAAGTCAACTATGAACTGCCTGGCAATCCGGCGAAGTTTTATGCAGCTCAAATCTGGGAAGATCAGTTTGCGCGTCGTGCTAAGCGGCACCTGCACAATGAGACCCAAAAGTATATGCCGGCCGCTTGGACGAATATGCATCCGAATGATCTGACTGCCGGCGAGCTCTACGAGAGCATCGAGAATATGCTAGTCCGCTATGGTTTCGATGAGACCTGCTTGCTGCGAAGCGTCTGCGAACTGGCTCGACATCCGTTCCATAACAATGAGCAGAACATGTTGACGGCTCTGCTTACCTTCACGCTTACGTATGTAGTCCCTGTGCAGCTGTTTTATAGCTATAACTAACTGAATAAATATTCCCTCAGTCCATCTCTGCATGCGGCCTTTGGACCCAGCGAAACGATATACCGCCAAATCTATGAGAATGCCGAACAGCAGGGATTCATGGGCGCAGACTGCGCCCAACTCTATGCCCAGTGTCCAGTTGACTTCCTAAGCGCCATCAGCAAACTCATTCACTGAAACGAACTCTTAATTTTGAATTTATAAAAACGCTCTCAGATGTCGCCATAATAATAAAATATTACACGCTCTTTAATATTTTTATAGCATTTGTATACACAAAGCTATACAATGGGCTCTTACCACATATGTAATAAAAGTTGGCATAATTAAATATGTGCAAATATGTATATACATATATGTATGTATATGCTTACATAAAAGCGATGTAGACTTGGTTGCCTTCGATTTAATCAAATATTTTTATTTATTATTGGGCTGAGCAGCGGACTTATATTATTCAGATCAAGCTGTATTTTTATTGAAAATGGAAATTCTGTGTATATTCTTAGGCTGTGTTAAGATATAGTATGTAACGGCCAATAAAATATGGCTTGTCCCATAAAGTATACAAATATATTTTGATGATCGAAGTAACAACCACATCGAGCATAGCTCTATGTATACCTAGGTACTCTTATTATATCTATATGTACCTCTTCTCCAATAGCATGTTAAAAACTCTATGAAACCGAATACCACATTTACAACTTTACAAAATTTTAAATCATTCAATTAAATAACGTTTCAGAAATATTTAGAAATAAATAAAAATGAAATACGCTCGAGAGTTTTGTTTAATTAATTAAAATTCTTTTTGATAACATTAAACAAGTAAGAAGCCTCTAATCGAGACTGCTCGACTAGGAGATACCCTGAACCCTATAAGCTGATATTCTAATCATTCTGCACTTCTTTTATGCACACATATGTACAAACACGTGCATCCACACGCACGCAGTGTGGGCAATATTATGAGAATTTACTTATTGATTAATTTCTCTTGTAGTAGCATGATCATATGGTCAAAATGTGTGTACATTCCAAAGCACAAGTCTCTAGTACTTGAAATACGTGTTTAATAAATTGGGAGCTAAGGGGGTGTAGTATTCAAACGGATAAACGTCAAGAATATATATACTTTATGGGGTCTGCGATGATTCCTTCTTTTAACAAAACCATTATACCCTGATTTCCCATTTTCAATGGGCTCAGGACATACAAATTTTAAATGATTCTAACTATTCGAACTATTATTGCTTATCATCAGGTTGCTTATTATCAGTTAAATATATTAACTCTATTTTAACCTGATTACGACAAGCAGCTTTATGCAATTAGGTATTAATTAAAATTGTTGGCTGAGAGACCCTGGAGTTAGGCTAACCGCATAATCCTCTCATCTGTAAATAAGCACTAAGTCCCCATTCTCACATCCACTTGCATTCGTTGATTTAAATAACTTTATGGATTATAGGTTTAGCTTTATTTCATCTAACTAGCTTGGTCATTATGTTCAGCAAATCCAGTTCACATTTGGGATACGCTTTTTGGCAGTCGCCGCCCATGAAGCCCAATTTCTCTGCGCGCTCATAGCGATATCGATATTGCTTCTCGTTGGGCCCAAAGCCATCGTGCTGCGAGGGTCTATGGGATATGAATAAATGATGTTAGTTTATATATATATATATATATACTCCTGGGTGTATTACACTTACGTTAGCACAAAGTTGATAATCTGAACAAACAGATTATGGCTGTAGCCGTGATCATCCGCCATGGGATGCAGGGCCAATTCGCAGACGCTGCGTAGCAGGCAGGATCTGTGGAAGCCGTAGTCCGGTAGAAGGCGCTCTATGCCCGCATATAGCTCGCCGGCAGTGAAGTCCCTTGGATGAATGCCACTCTCAGCGACGAATACCTCGTTGGCTGCACTCGTAAAGTTATACAAATCACGCCTGCGGCGTCGCTCGTACGCATTGGGCCAAATAGTTGGATTGTAGAATGAAACGAGGTCGAAGGGCAGATTGTAGTTCATTTGAAAGCCTAGATCCATAAAAACCCTGCGATTGGGCAAATCAATTGGCACCGACATCGACGTGGTCAGCTGCAGCACCGTGATTGGGGGGAAAAGGAATAGACCACATGTCCCAGTGATGAAGCACAAGCCGGTGCTTATCGAAACGAGGATCGATTTCCAGTTGTGCTGCCTTGGCCGACGCATTTCGATGTGATTGATATGCTTGCCATAGCCCGGAGCGCATGATATATGTGAAGTGGCTTTTGGGTCAATTCGTTTATTTGGGTCTTCAATTAACCAAACTGTTAATGAGTAAAACATTTGTTATGCGTGCGTACAAATTAGAACGGTAAAACCAACCGAAACTGGGACGTAGTCCTCTCTATGTGTCTATGCCCAAGAGCTCTCAGACGATAAACAATAAAAGCGTGCCGCATATTTCTCAGTTAAATTCGAAATTGTGCACACCGAACTGTTACTACACTGAAATTACAGATATATAAGAAAGCCTGATTTAAAAAATTTTTTAACCATATATAAAAAAATAAACCATATTTAAAAAAAAAAAAAAAAAAAAAACAGGCGTTGAAATTGTCCACTACAGTCTAGTTTGTAATGCACAGCTTTTACATTTTCTATTTAGTCTTCTCTCATTTTATTTATATTAATTGTTATTCATCTCATTTGAACCACAGAAGGTCTTCTATCTCTTTCGTCATTATTTTCTTTTATTTATTTTTAGTAATTAAGCAATTGCACTAATTAAACAAAAATAATAATAAAACCAAAAACAAAATGAAGATAATAACAAATTATGAAAATTAAAAAAATAATAATAAATATATATATAGTATATAGTATGTATATATTCTCTGTAGTTAATCCTAATCAAGAATACCATATACCATATGCCAGAGGGCTTAATAAAATCGTGGTACTCGAAACTGGCATTCCCTAATGGGCTCAGGGTATTAAACAAAGCTTCATGTCTTTTCTTAATTTCTCAGCTCAGCTGTAAATTTTTTAAATAAATAAATGTTGCGTGTCTTCTGGTCTCGTCTGCACAATTGCTTCGCTTGGTATACCGAACGCATTAGTAAGCCAAACGGCCAAATGACAACAAGATGAGTCTAAGCCAAGAGCAGAGAATTCTCAGCGTGCTGCTGCTGCTGGCTATTGGTGGACTCGCAGCTGCGCATACGAGTAGCTTCGAGCCAGGCTTTGGCTCTGATCTCACGTCTGGGTCCGCAAATCTGAGTCAAATAAGTCCGAGCGCAAAACTAAGTCGAGCCAAGCGTGTTGCCATCTACAATGGCCAGGGTGTAGTTAAGGTATGAAATTATTGCAATTCAATTTACTTAAATATTGAATGTTAATTGATCGATGTTTACAGTTCGTTGTCAGTATTGCGCATCCTGTGAAGCAGGTGGAAAAGGAGCAGTCGTTCTGGTTCTTTTACAACTTGCAAAGCCAGTACATTCCCACCACAGTACCCATCTTTTGGTGGAGCTTTTGGAACACCACAACCTTTGTCTCCACAGCCCGTCAACTGCGCAAGAACATGCAGGCCACTCTGCATCGGGATGATACGCGCAGCTGGGTCTACGATGTCATTGAGACCGGCATGGCAGCGTAAGTGTTACCGAGCTGAGTTCTTCAATGCCTCATAATCATGGCTGAATTTCAATTTCAGGCTGGATGGCAGTGAGCGTGGCGCCAATTGCTTGCTGCGCAGCATCTGCGAGATCTCTCAATTGCCCTTTGAGAATAGCAACATATTCAGTGAGATCGCCAACGCAATACTTATGTGAGTGACTGAAAGTTTTAGATTCGTTCCGATACCCCATATCATCTATCTTTGCAGACCCACGGCAGATAATGTTGCTGAAAAGTATATTAATGCCAGAGATGCGGGTCGCGCCGGTGCCGATTGCCACAAGACTTACAAGGACTGCAGTCGAAAAACCTGGAATTGGTTAACGAACTTTAATAAACTAAATTTCTGAGACAAATATTGAAATAAACTATAACAATTGAAAACAGATCTAATGACGACCTCAAACTTAGCTAGTTTTAATATCAATAAATTTATATAAAATCGACGGAGTGACACTGTGATAATCACATCTGTGTTATCACAGAGCTGTTTCTATCAGTCCTAGTCTGATTTTTTACAGCCTCATTGAATCTATAATTTAGATAACAAAACAAGTAGAAATTCATTTAATTAACTTTAATCAAGATAACTTTCATCGTTTTCGGTTGCGAGAGAGTTTAGTCTCAATGTAATTAAAATTATACATATATAGTCATACGAATTAGAAGTTCTTAAGAATGAGGGCACATATAAACCAAACTTTTCAGTTCGCCATGATTCATGCTCTATAAGAAATGCCTTCAATGTAATAATAATTTTTATATATGTATATCTAAATATATATATAAATAAATAAATGTTGACAAGAATAGCTTCCCCGTTGGGCAGTCAATTAAAATATATTTTCGACTTAGTCAAAATTTTAATAATGTACCATGTATATTGATTTTGATTAGATAATGCGCTAACGGCAAGACTAGGCGATTGCTGTGAGCGTCGAACCGGGAAATTATCACAAATTTTAACTATTAGCTATTAACACAATTCAATCTGACTATTCGATTTACCAGGCTTGCAGCAGTATGGGAGCTCGCCCTCTATCTGGCCGTCTTCCTCAAGCTGCGACGTCTCCACTCAGCCCATGCCTCGCAGAGCATCGGCTTCTGCCAACAAATGCACTCGCTCAGCGGCAGTGCACCAGGCTTGATCCGCGTGCACTCGGAGAAAGCCGGATATGGCGTCAATGGCTTGCTGCAGTTGAGAGGACGCCTGACTTTCACGCAATCTGGCGGAATGCGGCCGGATCTGTGGCAGCGACGCTTGAAGCGTGGGCAGTCCAGGGGGAATTTATCGCAGGTGGCGGGCTGTGGGCATGCGGTCTTCGGTTTGGGGGTGGTGCGACGACGCAGCGGAGCCGCCTTGACGTCTTTGAAGCAGCATATCTTCTTCGGCTTTATCGCAACGGGCGGGCATGCGACCCAGGTTTGCCAATACTTGCGATTCGCCTTATCAGACTCAACGTAGTATATATCATCGAATCGTGGATTGAATGGACAGTGTGACTCGTCCTCGTCACAAAATGGATTTAGCCATATGGATGGCTCCTTGGGCTGCTTTTTTTCGTTTACCTTCGGTTTTTTCCTTAGCATATTTTCCGGATCACCGCAGGGAGAAGGTTTCGGTTTTTTAATCTTAGCTCCATCGCACTTTCCACTCTTCTTTGACTTCATGCGTAGAGCAGGCAGAATGGGCAACTTTGCCAAATTACGTAAAGCTGAGCGATTCCATAATGAGTGAAGGGGTAGCATTTTTAATTTCAAAAACAATTTTTGTAAATTTGTGAAACAGTTCAAACCTATTAAAAAATTACAAAATTTTGATATAATTTTAAAAAAAGAAAAGGAAAATTTCGAAAATAACCGAAACGGAGAACTGTTTTCTAGTTTTACAATTTACACACTGAACCCCAGCCCAAATTATTTTCTCTATTTCGGTTTTAGATGCCTTCCTGATTCCAATGCCTACTCAGTCTTTCGACTAGCGTTCGAATTCATTGTGAGGAAGTCAAGCACTCTATATGGACAGGAAACCGCATAGAAACGGGCGCAGTCCCGAACATTCACTCGATGCTGATACTTATCTTCAGCGACATCTTCCGGCAAACTGAAAAGAACTGAATAGAATGCAAATATCATCTTGTCGTAGCCCACCTACGTTAAAATGATGCGTAAGAGATCCTCCATTAGTAATCCACTGCCATGCTGCTCATTAAATCTGGCCCGAAGCTCGCACATTGATCGCTCTATGCAGGATCTTATATCTAATCGAAAGCTGAAATGAATCACATTTGGCTATACAGTTGTAGGGCTCCGAAAATATATATTTTCTTACTAATTTCCCATTGTCTCGAATTGGTCAAAGATTTCTCGTCTCTCTCTGTAATCACGATTTAGTTTCCACCTGGGCACATCCGCCCAAGATTTGTATACCTCATTCTCCAAATTTCCCCGTTGATGTCGTTGCCAAGGCGCTTCATTCAATTGCCAAGGCCTTTTATAGAAATATTCCTTGTGTGTTTCAGATTTCACATAGCTGCATATATGTATATTTCATTGAATCTAACCAATCAACTGAGAGTCAGCATGAAATTACTTGGCATAGTGTTCTGGTTGGTAAGGGCCTCTATAGAATGAATGGGGCTTACGATGAACATTGCTGTATCGTGTGCCATTGCGCCTATAATCGTTCCAATTCCAGTCCCAGCGATGCATCGGCTTTGCGCCTGTTGATTTGTCATGATCGAGGAGTATGTTTGGTCGCCAGCCATCCACAGTATCCGGCAGACTTACATACATATCGAACTCTACGCTGTATTGTAATCCACTGGGTCGTCCGCCCACGATTATTTTGGTCATCGCTGCCGTTATCAACACTGTGGAGCCTTTGGGAAAGACGACAGCTCGAGCGCGTCGTGAAAGTAAGCCACTCGGACGACCAAGCCACTCTGTCTGATTTCCGATAGTCGCCTCCACATCATATCCAATTATTATGACAACTAGAATAACTAGCATACAGCTCATACTGAAGCACACAACATGCAAATCCAAACTGCGCAAATGTCCCACTCCAGTTGACCATTTGACTTCGCACTAGAGAAGAGTAAACTTTGGCGTTGTAAGAAACCCAAAGACACGACCAATAAAGGTGTTTCCCATATGTGTGATGTGTGCTGAACCCAAACCTTGTAATTCTCACCTATATTTCACAGAGAGTGGTGAATCTTGCAGATTTAATTGTGAATTGTAAGCTAAATCTTTCATAAAGCCATTAACCCAATTGTGAATGTTATTATATAAATAAATAAATACAAAAATGTTAATGAAATAAAGAAAATCAATAACAAAATAGAAAAATAAAAAAAAGGTATATGAACCAAAATCATAATAATAAAAATATAATATATAAATAAAATAATAATAAAAAAAAATTAGTAATGATAAATAATAATAATAATAATGGTAATATTAAAAATAACAATAACAAATCATATTACATAAGGATATAAAATTATTCTATACTATAAATACTAGTAATTTACATGATTCCTATCAAAAGATAGCTCAATATGGTGCCATCTCCAATTGCAAACTATCACAGGTGCGCTAATTGTCTTGGCTGGGCAGACAGGTGCCAGACACCAGCTTACAAGTTTTTGTATTAGTAAGCTATGAGGTACAAATATAACAGTATCAAGTTATCCATGCCATGGAATTTGTTTTGGTAGTCGATAAATTCTCAGATTCGTTTTGGGATCAGTTACATTTATAGTTGCTTTATAGACAGTAAGATTTTCGGCATTTTCGCACGGCGTAATAAAAAATAAATAAATCCAAAATAAATTAATTCATTGGTATTAGCCTGAGATAATCAACAGAATGGTGAACTTTAATAACGGTACAAAAATAATGGTAAATCGGTGCATTGAGCTGCTCAATGCAAAAATAGCCCATGCCCAGACCCGACACATTGCCAAACGTGTACCGGTTAATCGTATCAGACCCCGAAAGATGGACGCCAAGACAATTTTTCGGGAACGTCAGAAAGCAGAGGATTATGAAGCTAGTAAACGTCTTTCCATGTGGGAGCAGAACAAGAGCCAGAAACAAAACATGTCAGAGAGCTTGCGTATGGACCATTCACATTATAAGCATTGTGGATTGATGGAACGTACCTACGACTGTACCTGGGCCGATTTCCCAGAAGATGTCAAGCCCAAGACACGTAAATCAGTGCAATCGCCAGAGGAAATCCAATCCCCTCGTCGTGAGTCTGGTAATCGTCCAGACACAGCAAAGCCCTGGGATACTGAAGCCGAGGACATCATTAAGCAATGGGAGAACGACAATGATATGCCCAATCGTACTAGATTTGCCAAAGCAACGACTTTAAGCCGCCCGATTTTGGCCAAACCCGTTAAAACTAAACTGCCCAGAAAGAAAATGTTCTTGTAATTTTGAACCATTTTCTTGAGAACGTTTTTTTTTTTTTTTTTTTTATAGTAGAGTGTAATCATTAAATTGAATAGTGTGTCATCTATACAAATAAATAAAGTTATACGTGATTGGTGATAGAAGCCAATTTTCAGTGTTCAGTGTCATTAATATATGTTTTTATATACGTTTTGGAATGAACTCCTAACCGACATCGCATTTTGATTTGATTATTTTGGTATATCACATGAATGAAATTGTATATAAATAAACAAAGCAGGCATCTAAAAAATCATACTTAAAATTATATTTATATATCACTATTCGTCATATTCTAAATTTGTAAAGCCGTTGTGTATGCAAAATTAAGAGTAATACATGAGGAAGTTGTCGGGGTTTCGCTAAATAATAACAACGATGCTGGGAGTAATTACCAAACAAATTCTAGTTATGTCTATACGCTGCCTGGCCACCCGCAAGGACGGCATGCTTCGTAAAGGACCTAGGCTGCCTAGGCTACCGATTAAAGGACCAAGGGATTTCGATTACTGGCGTGGCTTGAAGCGAAAACCAAAAAAGCCAAAAGATAAAATTACAAAAGTTAATAGATTTAAACATCGTAAACCGGAAATTCGCAAGCCAAAGGAGAAAAGAGAAATGCCAACAGAAGAAGACGAAGAAGCAGCAAAAAAATCAACGTGAATTTAATAAAATCCATTAATTCGGAAACTAAATACATTTGAATAAAATGCAATGTACATGACAGCTCTAACCTAAATGTGCCCAATTAATCGATATTTTATTTGAAAACTCAATCTGCCTCTTGTCTACTTGTTGGATTTTTAATAATCAAAATGGATGCTCTTTGGATTCACCTGGTCAAGGCGCTCCTGAAGAACATCCAGCTTTCGGAGTAAACTGCAATACATCTGGCAACTCTACGCACAGCTGGGCTGTAAATGTACTCATACTCGATGCCGCAAAAGTACTGTTTGCAAAAAGCATCTGGCTTTGTCTTCAGCTTTGTTTATTCGTTCGCTGGTATTTGCCTGGCATGGCGCTGTTGAGGAGCGTTTCGAATGGCTTTTCGGCTGTATTCCGGCGCTTTGCCAGCTCGAGTGGCTGCACCATTTACAGCCTCAGTTCGGGGCACGTCAAGTGCGGCGTCTCCGTCATCCGTGTGTCTGGGCCACAAACAAAGCAGGCGCTGCGCGCTGTTGTGAACAACAGCGAATACGAGCCGAAGCAGCGGCTGGCATATCTGAAATCATTTTATCATCCCACCAGCAAAGAGATCATCGACAGGGGTCTGCTATTGTGGTTTCCCGGTCCAGCCTCCTTCACGGGCGAAGATGCTTGTGAGTTTCAAGTGCACGGCTCGCTTGCCGTCATTTCGGCTATGCTCGATGCCCTGGGCCAATTACCGGGTCTACGGCCCGCACAGCCGGGTGAATTTACAAAGCGAGCGTTTTTCGGAGGCAAGCTGGACTTGACCGAAGTGGAGGGCCTATCCGATTTGATACACGCCGAAACTGAGGCACAGCGCAAACAGGTAAATAAATGAATATACTGTAAATGGTATGCAATTTTCATTAAAAACAACTCTTTTTAGGCTTTGCTACAAAGCACCGGCACCCTGGGCCGCCTCTATGATAACTGGCGCAAGCGTCTTATTCGCTGTGCCGCACATTTGGAGGCGTACATTGACTTCGCCGAGGATGAGCAAATAGAAGGCGGCGTAGTATTGAAGTTGACCAAGGAACTAAAAGCCGTGCAACGCGAGATACGCGCTCATCTGAATGACCAGCGGCAGGGCGAGCTGCTGCGAGACGGTGTACGCACTGTCATTATCGGAGCTCCAAATGTAGGCAAGAGCAGCCTGTTAAATCTGCTCTGCCAGCGTGCAGTGTCCATTGTGACCGATCAGGCGGGCACCACACGAGATATAATAGAGACAACGCACAGCTTTGGCGGCTATCCCGTTGTCTTTGCGGATACGGCAGGACTTCGTAAGCACACAACGGACGCAATTGAGATGGAGGGCATGGCCCGAGCAAGGCAATGTCTCGCCCAGTCTGACCTTATATTGCTGCTGACGGATGCGAAAGCTCTGCGAGATGTGGACAGCAATGAATCCCTAAATGGCCGTATCGACAGCTATTTGCAGGAGCTGGACATACCAAAGGAGCTGTGCAGGGGCAAACGCTTGCAGCTGGTGGCAAACAAAACGGATACGCTATCTGCCGAAGAGATTGACCATCTCAGGAAACTAAAGGATGTGCTGTGCATATCTTGCCACAAGCAAGACAACTTGCCGGAGTTTCTGGGCTCCTTAGAGCAGCTGCTGCAACAACTATGTGGAACACCGCAGGCGGAACATCCACGCATCACGCACAGCCGCTATCGACAGCAACTGGAGCGCTGCATCGAACACATCGAGATATTCCTAAGAGATTACAAGCCCGATGTCTTCCCTGACATGGCCATAGCAGCACAGCAGCTGCGTAAATCGGTGCGCTGTATCGAACGCATCACTGGACATGTCAGCTGCGAAGACATACTCGATGTTATCTTCAAAGACTTTTGCATTGGAAAATAGTTCATATGCCTAATCATTAAGTACAAAGATTGTATAGACTACAAACAAAGTGAATTGATTACCAATGCACTATCACTACCATAAGCCATTAATCTTAACTTGTATATTTAAGCAGTCCAATAATATAATATTTTTGAAAGGTAAAACAATTCAAATTATATTGAAAGTATTTACAACTAAGATTAAAATAAATTAATGAGATAACACACATATTTTTATTACATTTTATTTCTAGAAAGAGATATCAAATAGAATACCCCTATTTAGAGCAGTCTTTCAAAATTTGAATTCGATAAGGAATTGTAGCAAAAAATACTATCGATAGACCGATTGCTCAAGTGTCCACTTACATCACTAGAAAATATGAAAAACATTGGCTGAAATTATAGAAACAACGTGCAAATTGGCGTTTTGGACAGACAGTTATTCCATTAGGACCGTGTGTACGTTGTGCGGTGATTGTTCGGGGCAGTTTACGAAGTTAGCGAGTGGCGTCAGCAGGCACCAAAATGCCAGGAAAAGTGGGCGTCAAAATAAAAGCTGCGCGTAATCTGCCAGTGATGGACAAGAGCAGCGAGACAACGGATGCATTTGTGGAAATCAAGCTGGCTAACAAAGAGCACAAAACGGAGGTGTTCCGGAAAAGTTTGAATCCCACATGGAATACCGATTGGTATGTGCCCACCCCACCCGCTCTTTACCCGACATCATTTATCGTATTTGGTTACTGTGCAGGTTTCGCTTTGAAGTTGACGACGCAGAGCTGCAGGATGAACCGCTGCAAATTCGGCTAATGGACTATGACACATACTCAGCAAATGATGCGATTGGCAAGGTGAACATAAGTCTCAATCCACTTTGTCTGGAGAGCTCTAGTCAGTCATCCCATGGCAAAGGCATCGTGCTCTCTGGCTGGATACCTGTCTTCGACACAATGCACGGCATACGCGGTGAAATAAACATAATTGTGAAAGTGGATCTGTTCTCAGATGTCAACAAGTTTCGTCAGAGCTCTTGTGGTATTCCCTTCTTTCATTGTGCGTAGCAAATTCATGTGTAAAGCAAATCTAATAGCCCCTTTCACCCAATTTCAGCACAATGTGTTCCCTTTGGTTACCGTGCTCAAGTCATCCATGGTTTTGTCGAGGAACTGGTGGTAAATGATGACCCAGAGTATCAATGGATCGACAAGATCCGCACACCACGCGCTTCCAACGAGGCACGACAGGTTGTCTTCCTCAAGCTCTCTGGCCAGGTGCAGCGCAAAATGGGCCTGAAGGCCATCAACATGGGCGCCAATGCAGTCATCGGCTATACGCAGTGCTTTGATCTAGAAGGTGATGTGGGAGTTGTGGCACGTGGCGTCGGCACAGCTGTCACCCTAATCAAGGACACCAGCACCAGTCAGCCCAACAGTGCAGATATAGTCCTCATCGAAGAGTGAGTATTGATAAGAAAATCAAATGAAATCAAATATTGGAATATGTACATTTATCATGGATATGTCTTAGAAAAAGGGTCCGAATGCAAAATAATATACAAACTATTTGTATTTTATTCTGATTCCAAAAGCAAGCCGAGAGAATATTTTGTACAAATTTTATAGGAGAAACCTCCTTCAAAATGCAATATTTAAATTCCTAAATGTTTAAATATTATATGACTACCAGTTATAAAATTTAATTAATTTTAATACATCAAATGTGACAGTGTTTAATTACCAATTTGATATATAAGGCAATTCCATGATATAGAAAATATTATATTATATGCCCCAAGCAACATAAGTTTATTCCCAACCAGTAGGTCTGCTTGTAGGTCCTCGTGGCTAAAGCTCAAATTATGTTCTAAAATATTCTATTCTCTTCTTTTGAATGTTTTTCCCCTCTATCCAACGATCACGAATGAAATCGTCGTTTAACGCTCATTTTTGTTTTCAATAATTAAATCTGTACTGTGCTCCTTGTCGTTTTTTCGTTGTTGTATTGCACATGCTCAATCGTTGTTGTTTTCGTGTCGTATCTATAACATCAATCAAACAAACCAAACCAAAACAAACTACAACACTCACCCAACCAACCCTAATCGTCCCTTAAACCCCACATAGGGTCCAAAAATATTTAGATTTTCTCAACTGCACCAGTGGCAGCAGCGCTAGCCTCCCACTGTCCGGCAGATCACCTCAATATCGTCTTAATATATATAAGCAGCCCAGTTTTAGTTCGCCCAGTTCGGCGGCAGCAGCAGCAGCAGCGGCAGCAACGTTGTTCTACTTGGAAAGTGGCAGTAGCGATACGGAGGATGCGGATGTTATGCAAAATCTCTTGCGGCAAGAGGATGAACGTGGCGAGAGAACACGTGAGAAAAGGTTGCGACATCGCATGCACCGTATGACATTGTCCTCGCGCAACGTGTTCAGCGAGAAGTACGCAACGCTTTTGCGGCGCATCGAGCCCAAGATTCCGGAGAATGCCACGCAATCGCTAAGTAATCTTTTCGGCGCAGTCGGGTCAAGCACAAAGCGTCGTCGTAAGTCGCGCTACGCAATGGGCAAACGAGCACCGCAGGCCATAACACGCTCGATTAGCGATGATACGGGCGCTGGGCCATCAATGTGTCAGCTGGCAGTTCCGCGTTTGCCCGTGTACCAGGAGAGTACACGCTCTGCGCCGGATCTGGAGATTGATGCCTTTCAGCGTAAATCCACGTGCTCCACGGACTCATCGGACTCGTTGTCTATAATTGAAATACTTGCCCCAGGCATTGACAGTGCTGCATCAGCAGCAGCAGAAGGCGACTCAAGTGACGAGGAGCTGAAACAGCTGCAAGCCTTCAAAGATGATGAAGAGCTGCAGGATAACTGGATAAAGCCGGGCGAAACGCGCAGCTGTGAGAACAGCCAGCTCGATTTGACGCCCAAGCGACACACGCTGCTCGAGGACCTGAAGGGTTTCTCGCGTCGTCTCCAACAACTGATGCATCTGACACCCAAGCAGCCAGTGCAACGAAAACGTTCCCTGCTACTGGCCGCTGCTGCACTCGAGCCGTCTATGGAACGCAAATCGTATTACAGTTCACAGCCGGAGTTGCCCACAAGCAGCGCTCTCGATTGGCCCTGTGCAGATCTGAGTGCTTTCGCTTCCATGCTGCAACTGAATCACTTGCCCAGCTATGAATCCAATTTGCAACGCTGTGCTTCGATTTCGCATTTCGCAAGCATTAGATCTGTAGATGATGTACCATTAGTAAAGTTTGATTCCCGTGCACTACCAACGACACCTCCATCAGTACCTCCAGTAGCCCAGGAAGTAATTCAAGAATATCCGAACACGTTGCTGCCCGTTGCGCCCGTTCTCTGCATTTGCCCATCGACCCCAACCCCAACAGAATCCGAAAATAGCTCACAGCAGTCGCGTGCCTTTGATTATTATGATCCACCCGATTTCGAACTAGACCATGTTGTAAATATCTCTAATAGTACTAACCATAGTAACAACAATAATGAATCATCATTGCTTGCTCCATGCTATTCTGTTTCGCCATTTGCCATACCAAACCAACAACAACGCTCAACTAGGTCCAGCAGCGATATTCAGCAACAGCAGCAGCAACAACAGCAACCACAGCAGCTTCAACAACAACCACAGTCGACACCACAGGGCGTGCTCATACCCACGACGATTGCGTCGATCGAGAATAGTGCGAATGGTAAAAAGCTGGCATCGCCGGTTACCAGCAATCGGACAAAGCTAACGCCCAGTCCATCCAAGAGCGGCATTTCGGGTGGCACGAATGCGGACAGTGCATCCACATCGACCACTTCGACGGCCACAACGATGGTGCAGGTCAAGGAAGTGAATGAAATCTGTCGTCGTTCGTCCGACTCCGATCTGAGTGTCACGCCCAAAGGTATGTAGCTCCCTAGCTTCCATTTGATATTATGTACCATAGGAATTAAGCATAGGCTAAGTAGGGCTATAAATACCTCGCTATGAATAAACTACGAGTGTTTCCGCTGTACCGAACGAAACCTTGTGACTGTGTGTATGTGTCTGTGTGTCTCGTGTCTCTCATGAGTAACTCACAATCTCTTCTAATGTTCTCTCTTTGCGCCCGCTGCTGCATCAAACACCATACAGGCATAGCCTATGCATTGCATCGTAAGCGTAAGTAGTTGCCTCTCGTTCTCTCTCACTCTCACTCTCTCTCTCTCTTTCTCTCTGTCTGTTTATTTATAAGTTTCAATGTCCATTATCGATGTACATAATTGTGTGTTAATGTCAATGTAAACCCTCTTTGTGTTAAAGTGTGTGTGTGTGAATATGTAAGTGTATGTGTGTGGGTCAGTTGGTGGGCAGGTTAATCGTTGCAGCTGATATCTAAGCTCTCTTCTATACAAACATATATCTTTTAACACCTCTCTGGTCTCCTCGTCTGAGCTGTCTGCAAAACTATGTAATTGTAATTATTCTCTCACTATGTATTTGCCTCTTATATCCTAATAATTATAATATTAAAAACATATACATCTATAAAATCATCATCTTACCTATAAACATACATATGTATTTATATCTAAAATGAAAAATGACAGAAAATTATTATGACTTCTCATCGGATCCATTTCATCCATCATCTAAATCAATTGACATTATGTAAAGAAGATTACGAAACATATTTGAGAGTAAAATTCGATTAAAGACGGCACAAAAATATAACTTTTTAGTTAAGAATATAAGAACTTTTTTCTTTTTTTGAGTCTGTGGAAGGTGAAGATTCTGGCTAGAATCTTCATTAGACAAAATCATATTGGCGAAAAAAATTAACTAATAACTATAAATAATAATAAATTAGTTTAAAGATGTTTCAGTCATCGGTTGATAATCTGATTAACGATGATTCTGGCAAACACCTCAGGCAAAGACTTAATCTTGGCATTTGCGATTCATAATTATTATTTTCATTAGGCCAGAAATTATGTAATCCATGTGAATTTTAATTACGCCTCTCGATCAAACATATCTATCCCATACTGTGTTTTCGCTTGCCTTAACGTTGTAAACCTGTGGACCTATCATTAAAGTTTAGTTAAATAGCACCCGATTCTAACGTTATTTTTCATTGGCAGGTAACTCCGTTTGCGTGGCTAGCGAGCGACTGGCGGCGGCCACGGCTATGATGCGATTGAACACACCCACCGTGGGCAGCAAGACAACCGACAGCCTGGACATGCTGGAGTATCCGTTCTTAACTATGACCAAGTACCCAACTGGGTTCATACTGCACCTGGGCGCCACTGTGGCAGCGCGCTCGGTCAAGCTGCTGGAGCGCGTGCCCAATCCCGATGAGCCGGAGGTGCGTGACAGCTGGTGGACGGAGCTGCGCATGGAAATTCGCTCACATGCCCGCTCTTTGGGCTGCAACGTCGTGTTGGGCTACGCGGAGTCCACAAGCATATCGTAGGTCAACAGAATTAAATGCATCACAATAACTTTACCGTTATCTAATTTGGATATTTGTTTCTGCAGCGACGATGTGTGCGTTTTGTCTGCCACTGGCACCGCTGCAGTCATCAACATGGTCTTCAATCGCTCTATTTCGCAAACGGACATCTTCGCTATATCAAAGGTAACCAATAATGTGGCCGCCATGTCCAACTCGATGGAGGATAGAGAGGCAAATGGCAGCGGTGGTGAAGCAGCAGCCTCTGTCAAGGACGGCAGCTCGCTGGGCACAGCCAACGGCTCGGCTGGTAAACGCTTTGGCTTTCCAAATCAAGGTGCCCAACGTAACGCCTGTGCCATCTGCCACGTGCCGTACAATTTGGGCAACGTACCCTTTAATATCAAGATGAAGAAGTGCGCTATCTGCCGCAAGGGCCGAGTACCGGATGTTCTTTTGGCCACATTGGAAGTGCCAGAATATATGCAGGTGACTGGACGCGGCTGTTTCATGCAGGCTCAGGTGGTGCGCGCCAAGAGAGATCTGCGCGCCGAACTGAATGCCAAAGAGATTTCCGATGGATTGCCATTTCTGGAGTACGAGCTACACCGTGTGCTGATCAATAAGCTGAAGGCGAAAGGCATGAATGCCATTTTTGGACTGCGCACCCAGGTGGCCATTGGCGAACGCATGATAGCATTAATTGCCACGGGCACGGCATTATTTTTGAGTGCATTGCCCGTGCCGATGGTGCCAAAGATTATGGCCGGTAACTCGTGGACGGACAAGCAGAAACTCAACGAACTGCAGAAGAAATTGCAGGAGACATTTGAGCGTAACCAAGAGATCTACCAGCTAAAGAATATGGATCCCGATTTGGCTAGCATCAGTGGCGGAGCTGGCGGCGATAAGCAATCAGATACGGATGATTCCGATGATGAGGAAATGAATGAAATTGATTTGAATTGCGGCAACAAAGAGCTCTGTGTACTTGAGGTAGATGATATTGAGGACCTGGAAATCATTTCACTACTCATGGAACCATATCCACCCGAGGGCTTCCATGTGGTTAACACACAGCAGGTGCCCGGCATGCAGGAGCTGGATGCCGTTAAAAATCTTCAAATGTTTACGCAAGTATGGCGAGCTCGCATCGACGTGGGACAGAGCGTCAATGGCTTCCCCAAGCACTTTCAGCGGTAAATTGGAAGCTCATCGAGCCTTAAAATTAATATATCAAATAGATATAACAATTAAATCTAAATCAAATGATTTCAGCATATAAAAAGCCTTGAATCTATTATCTATGTAACTATTCAATTTTCAATTTAATTTTCAAATTGAATGTATATGATTTCATAGACGAGCGTAATTCTCCATTAAAATTCACTAGTTATTATTGTACTTATTTGCTTTTTCCACAGACTTCTGCAGACGATATACTTCAAGCTGCGCACAATGATACCCTGTGCAATATGCGATCTACGCTTCAGACTGGATTTGCCTGAAACGGTATGTAACTCAAGTATTTTTATGAAATTCTTAATAAATTGCGATTCACACACATTTAGGACCAAATCCAATTACTTGTCACCGGAATGGCCATGGGCTTGAGCGATGGCAATAAAATGAAATACCGTCGCCGGGCACCGGCGGCCGCACAATTACCAAATGGGTCGAGTGAAGCAGCACCGACTGGTCACGAATGTCAATCCCAGCCGGGGATGAATGGTAAACGGATGCTGCAAGAAGAGGATTACATATTTCCACTGGACGAGGATCAAATGGTTGATACACCCACACCAACCAGCTCGGCCATTCCTCCCTTTGGCATGAGTTCTTTCAAAGTGCGAAAGACTTCGCCGTCGCGACTCTCTAATCTAACGACCCCCTCACCCGCAACAAAACTAATAAATATAGGTCCACCGCCACGCAGTCGCTACGTAAGTTAAAAGCTTCTCTAATTTTGGATTCGATGAACTAATGATTTTATCTGCACAGTCCCCACTTCGCGATCGTTATGGCGTAGACTTGACGCCACTTAGCTTCATACCGGGTGGTCGTATTGACAAGTATTTGGGAAATCTAAACTTCTTCTTCATTAGGGAGAGCACCTCGATACGAGAAAACGGCGGCATTAGCGGATTTGTACATAGTTTCATTACCGAACTGCTGGCAGTGGTGCGCGCTCATATTGCTTCGCTGGGCGGCAATGCAATGGTCTCATTTTATTTGACCGAACTCATATTGTTCGACAATCAGCACAAGAATCAGGTAATATACGAATTCCCATTCATGTGACTTTGTATGGTTATGCATCCTTTATTATGTATTGCAGGGACAGTGTCTGATTAGCATTGGCGGCGATGCGGTATATGTCAACTACTTTGCCGACGACTGATACAACCGATTGCGGGGCATATAGCGCCAATTCTTCGCGAGTCGTCCCAGAAGTCTTTACTACTGAAGAAGCCCAGATTTTGCTCTGAGATGTTCCCTCTTCCTCTACTTCACTCTGGATGCCAACTCTTAATACATTTTGGCTCTCTAACTCGGCGTTGTATGGGTGTCAATAGTGCCAGTATCCCATGCAGAAACGCTGTTTACTTAAATATACATATAGTAGTAGTAGTGGTACATACTACTGTATCGTCTGTATACTGTACTGTATCAAATTGAAATCATGCAATATTTGAACTGTGACTTGACGTTCAAGATGTAGGATGAATTTTTCATGTATTGTTATTTGTTTGCTTAATGTTTAAAGGTTAGCCACTTGCAATTTTCATGACCGTAGTTTGTACATAGCTGAGATGTTTATTGAATTTACATTTTGATAGATAATTTGATGCTTTCAGCTATGAGGCATAGCTCTTAGCAATTATACAGTATACACAGCGAAGTGTAATTAATTTTGGCAACACAAAAGTCACCCAACAACTAATGTAACATATATATATATATATATATTTACTATATATAATACTAAATAATATGCAATCTTTGAAATTAGAATCCAAAAAGTATCCAACAGTTCTATTGTCTATCTATTCAATTGGGAGTCGTGGAGAGCAGCACAAACATAACCCAAAGATGCAGCAATGCAACGTAAACTATTATGCAGATGCGCATCATTGGATAGCGACGCAGAAAGGCGCCTACGCGTATGCCCACGGAATCGGCCTGGCGCAGAGCGCGTTTAAAGCGGCGAGCGACGCGATTGTCAAAGGGACTCGGATGCATAAGCAGTGGAAATTGTGCCTTGGCTAAAAGGAGAGGCAAATATCAAAATTCATCATTATAAGAAAAGCTGAATTCATTCTGCATTCTTCACCTACCATCATCTGTGCTGTTGGAAAGCAGTGTATTGCGCGAACTTGAGCCTCCTCGTTGATGACCCAGTTCAACAGAATGCAGCTGTTGCAGCTGCGCCTGCATATTCTCATGCTGCATACGCAGAGCATTGCGCTCCACTGTCACGCGTTCCAACAGGCTCTGACGCTCCACCAGCGATTGTGTGAGGGCTTTTAAACGATTCTCATAGTCAATCTTGACACTGCTGAAGCCAGCTTCGCTAACGAGCTGTCGTTGCTGTTGCAATTGTTTCTCCATTTCGTGCAGTCGAGTTGCAGAGGCGGCCATTTGGTTGCTCATCTGTTGACGCAGTGAAGACAGCTCTTGAGTCAGCATCCGTTGCTCTGATTCGATGGCCAAGGTGTGCTCGCGAGCAGTACGAAGCTCTTTGTTGAGCGCATTTTCACGCTGACGAGCCACGCCGAGCTCCAATTCGTGCTGACGCTCCAACGCCATATAGTCGTCAAGCTGCAAGCGCAGTCGTTGCTGTTCTTCGCTAGCGTGCTGCAACTCCTGCTTCAGAGCGTCAAGTTCGATTTGTAAGAAACGAGTCTCGCTATCCTTGGCAGTCAGCTCACAACCTTCTGTAATCGGATTTTGTTTAAGCTCAGCGATAAGAGCATCTTTCCCCTGTAATGCTCGCTGAGCTTTGGTTCGATACTCTTGTAGCTCGAGACGCTGTTGGTCCGTCTCTTTGGTCTGCATTTGAAGCTTATGCGCTGTGCTTACATACTCTTGCTGCAGTTTAGCGAGATTCGTTTCTAATTCAGATATGGAGTGTACGTAAGCCATTTGAGCTGTCTGCGCCTCGCTCAACTCTTGAACAGCTTTATCGCGCTCTTCGGATAATGTTTGTGTTAGACTTTCAAGCTCCTGTACTCGTTGTTTCAGGCCAAGATTTTCGCTATCGTGGTTGAGTCCATCAAGTCGCATGCGCAACTCATCACGCTCACTGGTGATTTCATTAAGAGCTATCTTGAAAGCTGCCAACTCATGTGTGTCCATTCCGTTGCTATCTGGATTGACTGAAAAACTGGCCGATGTTGGTAACTTTTGTCGTAGCTCTGTGGTCAACACTTGGGAGCCTTCGCTTTTGCTGCTGGATGCGCTATTACCGACTATGGACAAAGACATGGGTGTACTGCTGCTGCTGGTGGGACGCTTAATTGGAGATAGTGTTGCTTTTAGAGATTGTGTGCTGCTGGAGAGACTGCTCTTCATAGCATCTAGCGCTGGACCAGCTTCCGTGTGCAAGGCTGTAGCAGCATTCTGGTCGATTTTGTTTAAAATATTTTCTGCTTTATCTGCCAACCCTGTTATCCACGACGACATTTCTAAATCACAGAAACAAAGCTTACAAAATCCTTAATACGTGGAAAAGTTGTTTGTTTATGTCAGCGCCAGTACTGTATAATATCATCAGCGTTATAATTTGCAGTACTAAAAACATCCCAAATACAACAATCGATATACATATAGGTTGTTGGCACTCTTATCGATAATTTTTAGCATTACACACACACAAAAATCAATAGTCGCCGCCATATTTTTTCACTTGTACTCGGACGCGTTTTTATGTTTAGGTAACTGCAAAAATAATTGACAAACATATAAAAGTGGTGAAATAGTAAACGTCCAGCGTTTCTGCATTAATTGGTGAAAAGCCCTTGCAAACTAAAAACGGCTAACGTTTGTGCGCGTCCGAGTGTTGTGTGTGTGTGTATATGTGTGTCAGTGTAGCGGGCGGCGTAAAATAACTAAAAGTAGAGTTACTACTGTTGTTGCTATAACCCCAACGAAAGCATGGAAGGAGCTACACAAGTTGCGGCTCCACCTGTAGGTGGGTCGCGTGGCGGTGGTTACAGAGGTCGCGGTGGAGGTCCTCCCATGCGCGGTGGTTTCGAGCGCGGACGTGGTCGGGGCATGGGTCGCGGTCACTTTATGGGTGGCATGCGTGGTGGCGGTATGGGCGGCGGTGGTCCCCCAATGCAGGGTATGATGCAGGGTCCGCCGCGCGGCATGCGTCCCCGAGGCGGTTTGGGCTACCAGGGCCGTGGTGGTGGCGGCGGCTTTCAACCACGCGGTGCTCCTATGGGCATGCGAGGTGGACGCCCACCCCTATACCAGCAGCGTAAGTACAAACGAAATTACAGAAATAGTAGCTTAGATCACCTACATAACCAAATCCATACAGCACCTAAGCAGCACACGGGTGCCGACAACAATAAGACGGTATCGCCGGTACCCACAGCTACGGCAGCTGGGGAGCAGCAAGCCGGCGAAACTACAGCTGAAGATGGCACGGATGCAGTAGCTGCATCAGCTGGAACAGCCACAGCAGTGGTGAACACGCACGGAGCGAGCGGTGCGCCTGGCAGCAGCAACAGCAACGGTGGAGGACCACCGCCATATGTAGGTCGGGGACGAGGACGTGGTGGCCCGTTCGGAGGTCGTGGACGAGGTGGCGGTTACAACCCACACATGAACGGCAGTGGCGGTAATGGAATGTACCCGCACTCACATCATAACAACTCCATGGGCGGACCGGGGGGCGAGCATGGAGGAATGCCGCGTCGTGGCTCGATGCGCGGACGTGGCGGTGGTTACAATCAAGGTATGAGTCGGCCACCCATGCAACATCACCAACAGGCTCATAATGTCAATACACAAATTGCACCGGTACCAGCTCTCAAACGTGGCGCACCCGGAGGACCAGGTCCCAAGCGTGGACGATACGAGGGCGGACCCTATAGCCAGCGCCCCATTGCACCAAAGTATCATGCGGCGTCCCAGCATATGTCACAAACAACATATGGCTCCCCACCCAGCCATCATGCTCCAGCACCAAGGTAGTACCAATACATTTTTAACTCTAGTAACAATTCAGTTTTAATATTAGTTTAAATAAATAGAAGAATTAAAAATTGATCATAATATTAATGCCAACGTTCACTGCAGCCATCATGGTGGCTATCAGGCGCACGACCAGACCCAACAGGTCGACCCATACTCACAGAGCGGCTACGGTGCATCAGCAACTTCTCAGCAAGGTTATAATGGCTATGGTCAGAGCAGCGGCTATGCAGCACACACAACCCAGGCAAATACAACGGCCAGCAGCAGCTATGCGTCACATCACGGCAGCGAGTACGATCAAAGCCAATATCAAGGCTATAAGTAAGTTGGCTACAAATATTACAAACATTAGTTGGGGTTTTTATTAATTGAATTCGTGTTTACTTCCAGCTCCACGGGCTATGCCGCCCAGCCGGACACGCGCTATCAGTCATATAGCCAGGACTACAGCCAGCAGTACGGCTCGACAGCAGTTGATTACAATTCAGCCGGGCAAGCGGACTACAGTCAGCAGAGCGCTAGCTATGATGAACGCGCCTATGCTGGCTATGGTAAGTAATTGTTAATTAGTCATTTTCTATTACACATCTGGATCATCGAATTTGTCGGCATCCCCCCACCAATAGATTCGCAGGCATATTCGCAGAACTATTCAAATGCAGCTGCCTATTACTAAACAACAACAGTTTGCCGCATCCCTCGAATGGCGATATACATTTTAGTGAAGAACGCTGCGCGTGCTCCAACACGTATGCCAAATACCAAAACAAGGGATTAGGGCCAGCACGAGCATAATAATATGATGATTAACGCAGAAATTTGAATGCTATATAAATTAATACCTACACGTAGACACACATACACACATTACACTCAAACACACACAATTAGATTAAGAATAAAGTTCTCTTTTCCTAGCGTTTAAGTTGAAACGTGTTGCTACGTCTTGATTTTCACCTCTCCTGCCCCAACAACCTATCCAATTATCCAAAACCTTTGTGTTTGTTCGTCTTTGCTTGACCAATACCCGATCCATGTGACTGGCGATAATATTGTATTGCCTGTTATTAAATGTTTGTTAGTGGACAAAAGGAGCCTTGCGTCGGTTAAAAAGCTCCAGCCTATAAAAACGAATTATGTTTATTTCTTTTTATTTTACAATTACCATTAAATTTATTCAATTTATCTATCTTGATGAATGAAAGCCTAAACTAAAAAATATCAATTATGTGAATCATGTCATATTGTATACAAAAATTGCAATGTATAAATTTTAGTTAATAAGCAAACTGCTAATATGCAAAACATCTCTACAAATGGAACTTTTGTTTATTTCTAATTTTTTTTTTTTAATCTGAAATATCTGAAAATTTATCTAAGACTTTTCAAATATTTTTTGTTTCTATAATCTATTGACGTGAAAAAGAACACAGCTATAATTTCTTTTCCTATTAATAGCAACAAGTTAAGCAACAAAATCGTAATAATGTAATTCTTATTCATTAAGCTGAGCAAAACAAAAAGGAAAAAAACAAAGAAATACACAACAATTTATTAGCAAAACAAAGCAAAATCTTAAAATTTATCAAAGTCAATAAAATAATGTTTCAAAATGTGTGTAATGCATTAAACTTTATTTATACTTAAATATTTGAAATGTTTTGTTTATACCAAAAATTATAGTACAAATTCAACTAATTAAGCCAATGCAAAAAGTGCAACAATACAATTCACAAAAAGAAAGTAAGAAAAACAAAAACGCAGCTGCTTTTTATCAAGAAGCATCAAGTACTCAAAAATTAAAGACCAACTTAAGCCAAAAG